GCTCATCATATTCCACCTAGTATAAATACATATTCTGATTCTGAAGTTGAATGCAAAAGACTGAAATGCAATGTCAGAGGGGGCAACTCGCGTTAAACTGGGGGGGTCATGTGGCTCTTGCATACCAGTCAACCCCTTATCAATGCCTACCATATTGTAGATCAATTCAGACCTTATTGGTCACCCCGTGCCCTTATAAATCTCAACGTTCATCCAACAAAGTCCAATCACAAGGGAGAAACTCAAACAAATAAACAAACATTTTTTCTGCCCGTATTGAAACGTCTGTACGCCGTATAGACCTGAAAACTCAATGTCCCTGTACAAGAATACGGGTTTATCGTATGGTTTGACACGGTATGCTCTTGGAAATACAGAGTTAGTCTTACTGGCCTCTCACGTGGCTTTATAGAAAGGTCATCTCTGTGTGTCTTAACAAGTCAAACTAATTATTTGGTGATACTCCATTGGCAGTGGTGCGCAAGCGCACATAACATAAAACTCAACACGTTCGTCAGTAAGACTGTTGATTTAAAAGGCAAAGGTAGATAATGGGCGACGTTTTGGGCAACGGCCCTTCTTCATAGCTCATAGATAGGCCGGAGAGGTCGTGGAGCCACTTTTGCAAATCAGATTGATGGGCATGTAGAGGCATTGATTAATTACAGGAGATAATTATGCTACCAATACATGCTTTTAATTTTTCCTGTTGAGAAAACAATACACTAAATGCACCGATATGCTAATGTTAACATCAGGCCAATATAGCTAACAGAATTGTATAAATCAGACCAAACTATACAAATGAGGAGTAGGAAAGAGATGGTGAAAGCATGACTAAAATGGAATGAAGATTCCTCATATCCCAACCCAGAATCTTGACAATTCATAGAACCACTGTGGCAGGGTTTGTGGAGGGCATTAATAAGTACAAATTTAAGCATTATTACCCAAGCATTGTGCTTCGTAGGGTGCTTTGGTTATTCACTAAAAAAATGCATATCTCATATCTAAGAACCGGGGTCGATTTAAACCTTGGATGTTCCTGATCCATAGTTGGGGAAGATGTTAGAGTGGGTGACGTGGCTATATCTTTGGGGAAAAAGAACGAGTGGTGGATTTGCAAGTGAAGTAGGGACATGTATAATATAATCAGTCAATGGATAGGGGCAGGGAATTCCACACTGTGCTGTGTCCCTCCGTGCCCTTACTGGTACGGTTGCATGAGCCATGTGTTTTCACGGAGCCGAGCGAGCGTGTTACGTAATGCGGCAAAGCCCCCTGTGGGTCTTGACGGAGGAGGAGGAGGGATACATTCCGTTCAGTGTGCATTTTTATCTGACCTTTCGCCTACTTAACCACCAGCGCTTTGTAAAAAAAAAAACTGTGGCTTTGAAGCGCTGCTACGTGTAAATTACTTGTGTTGGTGTTGTTGTGCAGGTTTATATCAGCACTGTTTAGGTACCTACAAAGCCTTGACAACAGTGGCCAGGGGGGATGGGAAGGTGGTACAAACTGTACTGGGGGGGGGGGGGGCAGTGTCCCCCCCCCCCCCCAATAATGAGCATTATCGGGGCACCCAGCGAACAATATGTACCGAAGCCCCCACAAGCCAAACCTCTCTTCAATTCGATTGGACTTTGCAACGGCTTGGCAGGTGACAGCGGCATTGTATGAACGCCTCTGCTTGTGCCAGTCGTTGCGTGCGTACCGCTTTGAGGCGTAAGCTGCTCTCAACCGGGTGCTCGTGGCGGTGTGGAGCGGAGAGGCGATGCGTCGAGGTATGTGCGTGGGGCTGTTTGATGGCTATGTGCTTAGGCTTGAGCACTGCTGAGAAGCGGTTAACCCCACCACGTCCGAAATTTCACAGAGCACGCGTGACCAAATCACCTGGGGGTGCGCCTCATCTCGTCAGACCTCGGAAGCTGGGCAGACTTGCTTGATCCTGAATTTGTCGCCTGAATCGGCGACCACCCGTGCATTGGAGACAGGTGGCAATGGGCGTTGCGTGCAGTCGAGGCCAGTGCAACAGAACCCACTGTTTTGTGCTGACCAGCGTGGTGAAGTATGGTCAAACGTCCCCCAACGCATGAGGAGGATGTTACCGCACCTCCAGATTAGCACGGTTGGCCTACGCACTGTTATGATAGAAGTTCAACATGCGCTCGTACATACATCCAGCAGCGGGTGGGACAACAACAACAACAACAAAAACCGGGGGGTTGTACATGTAGCACGACTTTGCTGGAATCGGCGCGGTTGGCATTGCGAAAGTGACCCGGTATGGCCCGGCGTTTCTTTCCTTGTGACCACTGACTGGCGCCAACGGGCATGGGGACATGTGACCCTACCCCCCCCCCTGACCCGCCACTGTCAAAAGACGCAGCCTGGGAATGAGTTGTTGCGCCCGTTGTACTGCCCTAGTTAGGGCCCCGTGCGTAGCTTCTCTCCTGCGTATGCGGGCGCGTCCCAAGCATGAGGCGATCGCGGCCGGTGAAATATTTCACAACGGTCCCCAGTCGTAGGCGTGTGGGGGTGTTTGTGTCATGTTGAACGTAATTGTAGTTTCTTTGAAAATGTGGTTTGCTCAGGGAGTGTGCCAACAATAGTGATGACTTGCACACACATCTTCATTCACCATCGTGACCAACATTCTATCGTATAAAAAAAAATGGTCAGCTCCTCTGAGTATGCCCAACACCGTGGTATTTTTTATGTATGTGGGATTTTTTTGCCAGTAAAAAAAAATGGAGGAAAAAAAGTAGACCGTCTCTGTTGTAGGCCAATCGGCTTTAGGGGCAATGCACACATTATCCAAGCATGTTTGTTTGCATGTTAATGTCACAATTATGTGTGGTTAATGCAGACTTGATGCCTTGCAAAAAGGTATCTTATTTGGTGTTTGACCATCTTAACACCTGTTTTATTGTCAGAAAGGTTAAAAGCTCTTATTATTTTTCACCGTGTTATTTTTCCGTTAACAAGAAAGGGTCGAAAAATGTAATTTCTCTGAACTGTTAGCCGTTATTGGTGGCCATATATTGTCCACGTAAAGAAAACACTTCACGATTGCTCTTATGATCACCCTCATGTTTAAAATGTCTGTAATGTACGTCTGATATTGTGCAACTGCCCATTTACATACGTGGCTTTACCGAAAGACCCAAAGAGTATGGAAGGAGTAGGCTTTGCTCTATATGCTTTAGCATCAAACCCTACAGGAGGTGAATTGTTTTAGTGATTTATGAGGGTTGGGTATTTTTGAAGTGTTGGGCACATGACTTAAAGCACGTGTTAAAAGCGTAGGCTCATAATCGATTCCCACATGCGCGGGTTGACGCATTAGTAACGGTTAGAGTCGCGGAATCGTTTTAATCGTCACAAACTTTCAGCTCAGGACGTACAAGATAACAATTTTATTGTACGTCATGATTCTTCTCGTCATTTTATACTCGATATCGACAGGGGACATTTTGTGCTGTCCTCATAAGTTAAAATGCCGTCGCTGATTGTGATCTCTGTATATCAGGGGTGTGACATTTCTGTACGTTATATACTTTGCTCTTTAGGCAGACGTGGCCACACCGCGCTGCCTCTGCCGGAACATTGTGGTTGAGAGACCCTTTGGGGACACGGCTGCTGACGAAACCTGCGCTTGACGAAACCTCATTTGACAGAGATGCAAACGTCACTTTGTCTCGCGTCTTGTCGATGTGCGTGCGCGCGTGACTCGTGGTGTCCGGCTCACATTTGAAGTTGGTTATTGAGAGAGAGAGAGAAAAAGAGACTGAAGTTACTTTCAGCCCGTGCCATCATGGCACTTGAGTAACACCGCTGAGACCATCGCTGCCTTAACTTTTAAGACCTTGCGGTGACATCACAAGGGTGTTTGTGGTGGTACGCCTGGCCGTAGCGTAACCGAAGCTTCAAACTTGCGTCGGACAACCCGAGACCCAAGACCTGGGTAAGTATCTATAAGATAAGAGCTGTTATTTCATTCCTTCCACAACCCAGAAGTGTTCGCTGAAAAAGTTTTGCGTAGGTGGGAGCAGAGAATGTACTGGTGATGTTGGTGATGGTGCTGGTAGGAGTGGTGATGGTGGTGGTGGTGAAGATGCTCATGATGGTGGTGATGTTGGTGTGGATTATTATGGTGATGGTGGTGCTGATAATACTTCTGCTGATTCTTGGTTGTGCTGGCACTGCTGCTTATACAGACTTTGACGATTTTGGTAATGACGGTGCTGATAATGGTGCTTGTGGCAGTGATGTTCGCAGTGGTATTGATGATGGTGTTGGTAGTAATTGTTGTTTGTTGCGGAGTGGTAGTGTAGGGGTTAGTGCACTGCGCTACGAACCCGGTGACCGGAGTTCGACTCCCGCTCACTGCCAACACCAGTGACGATTATTTGAACTGGTCCTGGGCCTCTCCAACATCGACTCGGCTTCAAATGAGTACCCGGTGCGATGTGTAAGCTTCGTCAATAGGTACAAAAATCCAGCCGTCGTGGTGGTGGGCTACCCACCCCGTCGTGCGCTGTTTTTGCCATCCTTCATAGGTGCCCCAACAGTTCAGGGGGATCTTTGTAATTGGTTGTGAAGGTGATTTTAGTTACATGTTGACGTTGGTCATGTTGGTGATGGCTGTCCGTAGCAGCAACAGTGCCGGTGTTGGTAGCGGTGGTCGTGGCGTTGGCTGCGTTTTGTGACGGTCGTGTTGGTAAAGATGGTGATGTTGGTGCGATCGACATCTTCACTTGAAACCAGAGCTGGACTCAACGCAGAGGTATTTGACACGTGGGAGACGCCTGCTACGCACGCACACATACGTCTACTAACGTGCGTGCCTGTGTGCGTGTGCGCAGCCTCCGTCCGGTGAATGTCACAGCTCCCGGTGGTGCCCGGTGTGTGCCGAGCTCACCTGGGCCACGTGACAGGGATTTGAGGTGGGGTGGTGGGGAGCGGTGGGGGGCGGCGGGGGGGTGGGGGTGGTGGTGGTGGGGGTGGTGGTGGGGGCCCCGCGCTCACCATGGGGAAACACGCGGACGAACGCCGGGTGGATCTGGTGCCCGGTGACACCAAAACCGCCGTCCGCTCCACTCAGCCGCCCAACCAGGTTAAGGTTGCTCGCCCACCCGGTCCTCGCCACAAAGAATGCTCCCGGCAGCGTGCCGCGCTGGCGATTCTTTTCACACTGGATGGAATTCAACGTTAAGCAGAACTCGCCGATTCACTCCCAATCACTCACTTCACTGGCGGGCGGGCGCCACAACATCGCCGATTTCCATCGCCGCGACGATGATTGATACTGTCGCCGTGAAATGCGACAATTTTATTCCTCCACCCATGTGGACGACTCGGGCCTACCAGACTGACCCGTTTCGTCACTGTGTCCGACCACAGCGCTGCAGGTCAAAACTAAAAACTCGGAAATAGAAGACTTCGTTTTTTCACCAAGACTTGCACCGCTGTGGTCCACAGACCACCGGCGCGTTCCGCAAGGCCATAGGAAATTTCCTGCGGAACTCTTGCAGAAACAATTGCTTTGACGAAAGATTCGTTTCTTTTTATCTCAAATGTTAGTGTTTTTAATATAAACTAAATATTTTTATTTTACCAAATAGGGCCCACTGAGCTATATAGCTTTTTTTCAGAAGTGACCAGGCCACAGATGATAGCTCAACCAAGTGGCTTATCACGTAGAAATTTAAAGCAGCCAAATACTGTAAACGCATGTTTCTAAATTGTGGAGGGAAAACCCCGAGGACCCAGAGAAAAATCCACACGACCACTGGGAGAACATGCAAACTTAAAACATACAGCAGGCGTCGTGGTCCATCGAACCCATGACCTCCTGCAAACCAGGCGAGGCAGTTCATGTCTGGCCACAGTGGCGCGCCCCCGTAATGGTTGGGAAACGTTACATTAAGCCAAACGCAAGAGGAATCGCAGGAAACTAAACGAGGGGAAAATAGGGGTAGTATACGGAGGGCAGTATATGGAGGGCCTGAGATGAGCTAGGGCAGAAGAAGAGGGTAAGTTAACGGTGGTACTGGCCGAGGTTTGCGTTCGCTGAGATAGTTCCTGCAGTCAAAAGGGGGGAATCGCTGCATGCTTTCGTACCGTATGTAGCCAACCCTACTAATCGGAGGTGGGGGGCTAATCGGAGGTGGGGGCATGCAATGATGAATTAGTTTAATGGTTTAAAAATCAGTCCTCACGATTATTGTACGTGCGTCAAACCACGCCTCCGGGTCGATAAAACGAGCCCCACTTTGCGGGTTGTCCTACGCATGCATAGACTCGTCCCCCCGCCATGCGAATGCGGAATTTCCACCACTGGCTCAGGGCTGTGAACAGGAGGAGGACGTAGCCGCAGTGCGCATTTGAGCAGGAAATCGCTTGAAGTTTAACTTTTTTTTTTTAAACGAAGGGCCCTATCGCAATGCCGACAAACATGTTTAGGACCGCACAGAGCCCACCTTCCGTGCGAAGAGGTTCCTCTGCCTGGGAGGCATTGCCAACCCTGCACCGTAATCCGCGTGCGATAATGACGGCGTTGCATAATGTGCCATTGTGCTGCGCACATAGTAGAGCTGATGAATGGATAATGTACGGAATTTTTTTGTTTTATCTTAAAGCTTTCGTGACTGCGGGAATTAATATTCTTTGGGTCTTTCGGTAAAGTCACGTAGATAGAACAATAAAATAATGAAAATGAAAAGGAAGTAAATAAAAATGTTTTTATTATCATTGTTAAAAAATAATACATTTTTTTTAATTAACTTAATTTTTATATTTAATTTCGTTGTTCTATCTACCTGACTTTACCGAAAGACCCAAACCTCGCCGCTCGAGTTTGATTCAGCACCCCCCCCCCCCCCCCCCATTTCACCCGTGACCAACACGGCGCGGCGAGGCCTTCATCCAGCAGTGGATTGACAGAGAGCTGTAAACGTGACGTATGGTGATCCCCCATTCACAGGTTTGTGTAGTAGACTAACCATCATCAGCCATGACCAATTCACTGCTAGATGAAGGCTTTCCCGAAGCCATCACCATCTCTCATGATCCTGCAATGTAACAATCCAGCGAGCTCCTGCACGCGAGCCGATTCCATCGCTCCACCTCCACGGAGCACGTGCTCTTGGGCATGTTGCTTATGAATATTACCTGCGATGCATCTCTGATCGTCTATTAATAGTTCCCATATTTTGTGCACAATTTGGATCAGAAGCATGTTCGTGTAGCTGGCCCAAAGTGTTTGGAACCACCTACGTTTCGTGTCTTGGCATCCCTATTCTGCCATCTCTGTCCTCATTTAAACCGACTCTCTTAAAATCGCTAAAGTTTAAGTGTGAATGTAATTTCAATCTGCACTTGTGGAATGCTTTGACATTGTCTGCCAGCGGAGCCACCCTTGGGAAAGAGCTTCTGAGCTCAAAGGGCGTCACTCGGGGAAATAAACTTCTGATCATGAAAAAATATTTATTGCAATACACGTACTCGATGCAATGCATGTGTTGTGATTGTAACGATTCTTGTTGATTGTTGAATTGAAACGTCATCGCATGCCCGAGATCTCTGCGTTTGGGAGCAGAGCAAAGCTTTTATGTTTAATCCATTGCAGATTTGCTACCCCCCCCCCCCCCTACAGACAGCAGAACCACACATGTTTCTGCCAGAGCATATCTGCCCAAGTATATAGTCGGAGCAGGGCCAGAACAGATTAAGAACAAACCGGTTTTTATACAGTACGAGTTTGTGATTTGGAGAACCCACACAGCATATGGAAAGGCCGTCATCCAGCAGTGGATTTGACAAAAGGGGCTGTGCGTGTACACGCATGCCCATTGGTGACCGGGCGGCACGTGACAAAGCACTCGGTTTGAAATCTTGAGTTTGAAGTCGAAGCAAGTTTGCCAACTACTGCTTCCCTCCTGTGAGTCGTCCGCGCGCGCCTTTTGATCTTGGCGGAGTCGCAGCGTCTCTCACGAAATCCGCGTAGTCTGGCGCGCTTGCCCCTTCCTGCTTAGCACTTCTCACCAATCTTGACTTAAAGCTTTCGTGACTGCAGGAATTCATGTAATAAAATAATAACACTATCACGACGTTTCGATCGCAACAAGCAATCGTCATCAGGTGAAAAATATAGCGGGAGAGCTGCTGAGAATATATATATATTCTCTATATAGCGGGAGAGCTGCTGAGAATAAATAACTAAATATTCTCGGCAGCTTTTCCGCTATATTTTTCACCTGATGACGATTGCTTGTGTTGCGATCGAAACGTCGTGATATTGTTATTATTTTATTATTTCTTCCATCTACGTGGCTTTACCGAAAGGCCCATAGAAAAAAAAAACTTCTCACCAAGTTCTCCTTCATAGGGACTCGAGATTAAAGACGGACGATAGGGGAGGGCAGTCGAAAGCCAGCATCTGAGACATCTGTATCGTGTTGTGTTCGTGAGAGCAGAGATTTTTCACGGTGGTAGGGATGAAACACCTGGCCGGCAGCTCATGAAGATTCACCGAGCTCACCTGCGGAGGGGTTGGAATCCGGGAGGAGATCACCGCTGACGGCGCTGCTCGCTGTGTTGCCGCAGGTGCAGCACAAGCCTGTGTTGAACTCCCTGGTGGGGGGCGCGATGGCAGGCGCCGTAGCGAAAACGTCCATCGCTCCGCTGGACAGAACCAAAATCATGTTCCAAGGTACGGCAAAGAGCCTCGCTATTCAGCGGCCACTGCCTTCGTTCGGCGTGAATCTTTCGCCGGCCGTGATCTATCCGCTGCTGCTCAATCAAAGCCTCATCCCCGAGCCGTCGCCATGCGTCCATGGTCCTGCAATATGAGAATCCACCCTGCGCCTGCACATTAGGCCTTTTATATCGCTCCGTCTCCCCGGTGGACGCTCTCTCGGTCGCGTTCCCTCCCGTCGTGTTGCAGACGCTAGGCTGCAGGAGTTTCCCTCCTCGAATAAAATAAATGAACGGGGAAAGCACACAAGCCCCCCGCTTTCTTTTTGGCGATATCCATTTCTCGTCGATGCCCCTGGTGGACGCGTCTTTGACGCCATGTTGGTTGTTTTGCTTTGCAGTGTCGTCCAATCGCTTCTCTGCCAAGGTGAGGCCTCGCATAAATTACACCGCTCCACGTTTTGAGTTGCACCAAGCTTGAGTGATTACGACTGTCTCGGTATATGAAAGGGTTCGACACAATTATTAACTTTAGCATTTGTATCTATGTTTTATTGTCTTTCAACAAAAATCCGATTCATATTCTTGGTTCTTTCGGTAAAGTCACGTCGAAGGGAAACAATAAAATAATACTTTTATTTAATATTTTTATTATTTTATTGTTTCCCTTCTACGTAACTTTACCGAAAGAACCAAGAATATGAATCCCTGCAGTCACGAAAGCTTTAAATAAAAAAAAATCTGATTATTTATATTGGAAGAAATCCGATGAGCTATGCGGCTCACTTTCACATAATGTCCAACCTGGGCAGATCAGAACGCTACAACAACAAACAGTACAAAAACACGATAGTGCAAAGCATAGGAAGGGTAAACAAATCGCTTAAATAAAATTAAACTAAACTATTATTTATTTATTTTTCGATTTAAAGCTTTCGTGACTGCAAGGATTCATCTTCTTTGGTTCTTTCGGTAAAGTCATGTAGAATGAGAATAAAATAATAAATTGATGAGATAAAATAACAATAAAATTCTCACGACGGTTTCGGCCACAACACAAGTGGCCTTCATCAGGTGAAGGGACGAGACTGTCTGGTAGGACAGCGCTGGAGCGAAACACAGCCAAGCTCAGACCGCGACCTTTAAGCTGTGTGAGAGGAAACAGAGCACCTTGACAAAGGAATTAGCATAAAAATTTGCATTTAATTGGCGAACTTAGCATGATGAACGGTAAGGCCCACTGAGCGATTGGCTCATGTTTCAGAAGCGACTTGGCCACGTGTAATGATAGCTCAGCAGAGTGGCTTATCACGTGGACATTTATCGCAGGCAAAGTAATCCAAATAATCTAAAATGCATGTAAAATATAACGTCCTCTTCCCCCGCTCTGAGCAGGGATGAATATCCCAGTTGCGCAAAAGTTGAGGAGTTGGCCCAAACTGGTGAGGTTTCAAATTCATCCCATCCCCCTAATCAACAGCAGCGGGATCATTTTTTTTGCGATTGTTAGGCCACTAATTAATTATTTGTTTGTTGCAATTAAGGCAAAGATTGAATGATATTGCTGTGAATTATTGAGGCCAAGAATGAATTGTATTTATTGCAATTAAGGCACAGATTCAATGATATTACTGTGAACAATTTAGGCAAACGATGAATTATATTTATTGCAATTAAGGCAAATAATTAATTATGTTTGGCAGTGCAATTAAGGCCAAGCATTAAACATATTAACGTCTAGGACCACGATTTCTACCTCCGGGAAAAAATGGAAATATTTAAATAATCACATCTTCAAAGCCACGTTTGAGTCTTGTCACATATATACACATACAATGTGTATGAGTATTAAGGAAGGAACAATGCTTTTGACTTGGCGATTAATTACTAAGGATTACGATACATATGTCAGAATATCTTTTCCTAATCTATGCAAATTATATTCCAGTGCAGCATGAAGGCTTGTGGAGTGAACAAATGAGCTTGGAATTGGGAAAATAGTGCAAACGAGATGGTAAATATGAGCCAAGGTAAATAATAAATGGATAATTCTAGGTATGTAGATTAACTATAGCCTGGAACAGACTGTAAGAACAGGTGCTGTTAACAAGCACCTATGAAGGCCGGAACGGCACTCGAAGGGGTGGGTGGCCAGCACCATGCCCGGCCGCCTTTGTCTCCCCTGTGGCGATGTTTGCACACCACACCAGGTACTAATTTGGAGCTGAGTCTACCTAGGGGAGGCCCAGAACCGGTGAAGATATTCGCCACTGTTATTGGTCGTGAGTGGCTCGTTGGGTTCGTAGCGCAGCGCGCTGAAAGCTGCGCTACCGCTTCCCCACCAATGTCTTGGCTTCTGGGTCACCCTCCTCCTAACAAACGCGGTCATCGCGCACATTCCACCGACTCCTGCCTCCCACATCGCCGCCATTGTCGGTGGCCCCGCGACCCGTGCTCCACGCCGCACCCCCCCCCCCCCCCCCGTGATCCACGTGCACGGGGCCCGCGTTGTGTCTTTCGCGTTCCCGTTGGCAGGAGGCGTACCGCCTCATCTACGCCACCTACAAGGCCGAGGGCCTGCTGAACCTGTGGCGCGGAAACTCGGCCACGATGGCGCGCGTCGTGCCCTACGCCGCCATCCAGTTCTGCGCCCACGAGCAGTACAAGCGCCTGCTCGGCCGCTACTACTACTACCCCACGGGCAGGTCGGTACCTGCTGTGTGTGTTAGTGTGGGTGGGTGGGCGGGCGGGCGTGGGGAGCGGTGGCGTAGCGGCGCAGCGCCACGCTGCGTCTAAGAACCCGGCGACACGGGTTCGATTCCCGCTCACGGCCAACACCCAGTGACGATTATCTGAAGCGGTTCCGGGCCTCCCCTTAGGTCGACTCAGCCTTAAATCGGTACCTGGTGCGGTGTGTAAACATCGCCACTGGGGAGACAAAGGCGGTCGGGCGTGGTGCTGGCCCACCCACCCCCCTCGTGTACCGTTCCGGCCTTCATAGGTGCTCGCTAACAGCACTTGCCCCTACAGTCTGTTAAGGCTATACGGGGGGGTCTTTGGGTGGGTGGGTAGGAAGTGTGTGGGCCGTTGGGTCCCTGTGTGTGTGCGTGGATGGGAAGTATGTGGGCAGGTGTGTGCCTGTGTATATGTGCGTGGTGCTTGCGAACAGCACTTGTCCCAACAGTCTGTTGAATGCTATACGGGGATATCTTTTATCCTCTTGGGTCTTTCAGTCAAGTCACGTAAATAAAAAATAATCGATCACGACAATTCAATCGCAACACAAGCAATCGTCTTCAGGTGAATCGCAACACAAGCCATCGTCTTCACCTGAAGACGATGGCTTGTGTTGCGATTGAATCGTCGTGATCTATTATTTTTTATTCACGTGACTTGACCGAAAGAGTGTGAATTCCTGCAGTCACGAAAGTTTAAAATCAAGGGGATATCTTTGTGTGTGGCTGGTAAGTGTGTGGGCAGGTGGTCGCATGCATGTGTCTGTCCATTCGTGGGTGGGTGTGTGCAGGTGGGGAAGTGAAAAATGTAGGCAGGTGAATATGTGGGCTGGTGGGGTGTGTGTGGTTAGATATGGGTATGTGCCTGTAGTTAAGTGCAGGGAGAGGCAGTGTAGTGGTTAGCACATTGCGCTACGAACCCGGCAACCCATATTGGATTCCTGCTAACAGCCAACACCAGTGACAATTAATCTGAACCAGTCCTGGGCCTCCTCTAGGTCGACTCAGCTTCAAATGAGTACCTGGTGCAGTGTGTGAACATCGTCACTAGGGAGACAAAGGCGGTCGGGGCGTGGTACTGGCCACCCACCCTCGTGTGCGGTGCCGTCTTTCATAGGTGCTCCCAAACAACACTTGCCCCAACAGTCTGTTAATGCTATACGGGGGATCTTTGTAGTGGGTGTGTGCATTCATGCGCGTCTGTGGGTGGGTGTCGTGGTGACGTCACCGCCGCTTAGTGGCGAATGGCGGTTGTTGTTGTTGTGTCGGTGACTTGCTGCCAATAATTTTTTGTTTGTTTGTAGGTGATTTGTTTTTACATTTATTTTCATTCCACAGGAGAGTGTGGAGATACTTTCAGACATTTGCAATTACTTGGATTTTTATTAATTATACCCCCCCCCCCCACAACTGCTCCACCCCCACCCCTCCAACACCACATCCCACCCCTTCCAGGCCTCTGCCCCCATTCCCGCGCTTCCTCGCTGGCGCATTTGCCGGTGTGACGGCGGTGATGCTCACGTACCCGCTGGACATGATGCGCGCGTGCATGGCCGTCACGCATAAGGAGATGTAAGGGCGTGCACCGTGTATGCGTCTTAGACTCAACGCTGCCCACAGACTCTCACACCCGCCCATAGACTCGACACTGCCCATAGACTCGACACTGTCCATAGATTCAACACTGCCCGTAGGCTCAGCACTGCCCCAGTACATGAAGCAGTCTCCCTCCTTGACCTCTTTCTTATCCTCTCTTAAAGCCTCACCCTTTCTCTATCGCCCATTTCTCTTCCTTCCCCCGCCTCTCCACTCCCTGCCGTCCCTCCCCTACCCATTCGTGATCCCCAAGTACCCCTCTATCGCTGTCGCTCATTCCTCAATCCTTGTAGCACTGCCCCTGTGAACTACAGAACTTCATTATGTCACCGTTTTGTAAGCTGTGTCAAGCACCTTGAGTGAAGGCCCTTTATAAATATAAATTAATAAATATAATGTGCAGGCTTTCGCGACGAATATTATCCATAATAAAGGGTTTTTTTGGGGGGTAGATGGCATAAAAAAACCCTTTTACGGAAAATAAATATAAATAAAATTCGATATCGTCGGATGTTCGTGACACAATAATTGTATCGTGAAGGTTTGCTTAATGTTGCTTTTATCGTGGTTATTGTTTTATTGTATACATATATTTCCTTGGTAATGAAAGGCGTAAATAAATTATGGTGAGGGTTATTATCCGTTAAGTTAATGCTTTGTAATTTATTTACCGGAGTAATTGACACCGTGTTGATTATAGACGTCATCATTTTTGCCGTTCATTTAATTACTTAATCATTCCGTGTGCGACTGGCAGTGTGCGCGATATAAGCGATGTACAGATTGTCAGGTTTCAACGATTACCAGATGGCAGACTTACAGTACAAACACAATATAACAAAACATTTCAATATGATTACAAAGCTATGGGAAACTGATCTCGTGATTACCATTGTTTTGTTACGTTTTATATTGTATCATATTGGAACGCCATAAAGGTCGCTAATAAGAGGGGGCTATTTGTTCCATCTAGCTCACTCGAGGCGAGAAACCCTGGAGGGCAGCAAAAAACCAGTGGGAACGATTGCCCAAAACTCGGTGGTCCACCGGTGGGAGGCGATGATTGAGAAATTTGCCAGTAAATTTTTATAATTTGCCAAATTCTTCTCCATGAAGCCAGCACACATTGGCCTACTCTTGGCGAGCGACGTCACGGCATCGTGAACGTCCACTATTGATGCAGACGGCGCGTATTTTTCTCCGGTTAACACACGCACACACGCCGCCGTATTTTTTCGGGGCTGCCGTTGAATTGATCGCCACGGTGGTGAGATGGGGTACCTCCCTCGCCTGGTATGGAGGAGGTCGTGGGTTCGATCTCGAGCCTGACACCTGTTGTATATTTGGAGTTTGCATGTCTCTCTCCACCGTGGTCACGTGGATTTTTCTCCGGGTTCCTCCGGGTTTCCCCCCCCCCCACATTTGGAATCAACATGCGTTTCGAGTATTTGGCTGCTACAAATTTCCACGTGATGTTAAGCCACTTCGTTGAGCTATCATTTGCGATGGCCAGGTCCCTTCTGTAAAAGAGCTACGTTGCTCAGTGGCCCTTAGCTGGTGAAATAAAAATAGTTTAGTAGTTTATTCTAAGCGCGAACCTCCGGTCCGGTCTTTCACTCTCCCCCCCACCCTTCCCCCCTCCCACCTTCCCCCCCCCCCACCCTTCCCCCTCCCCACCACCCTGTAGGTACAGCAGCGTGGTGCACATGTTCGTTCGAATCCGTCGAGAGGAAGGGGTGGCGACGCTGTTTCGCGGGTTCAGCCCCACGATCCTGGGCATCATCCCTTACGCGGGCCTCAGCTTCTTCACCTACGAGACGTGCAAGAACCTGCATCGAGGTGTCAGCTGCGGCCCGCCCACCTGCCCGCATGCCGTTGCCTGCTCTGCCCGCTCCGCCCTTTCCCCGCTCGCGCTCAGTCAACCGGAGCTCGCAATACGAGTTTGGGCCACGATTCCCCCTCCCCCCCTTTTTCAGTTGTGTGGCGCTACCTCAGGTTCAATGGATTGTCGCTGTTCAGTTGGTTGTTGTTGTTGCCGCCACCTTTGTGGTGGTCTGTACGTAAACACGTGCGGCCCGTGTGTCCTTCGACGGCTGGATGAGGGCCTGCCGCGACGTACTATTGGTTGGGAGCGATCTGACTGTACTTCACCGTGCTGGTCAGTGCGGGTTGGTGAAGTCGGGGAGCGTAGACGTCGCAGTACGGTACCGACTTTGCCGTGCGCAGCCCTCCGTGTCGCCGGAAGGGATGAGACCCACGATGGGAGTGGCAGCCAAAGGAGGGAACTCGCTCGTGCGGACGTCCTTCGTGGTGATAGAGCGATGAGATGAGCTTCATGCGCAGTAGCGCAGTTGAATGTTTGCATCCTGAGACCCTTTGGGATGACGATGGCCTGAGGAAGATTTCTACCAGAAGTGGATAGATGTCGGATGGTGACATGAGATGTGTACATGCGTGGCTCATTTCCGCCATGGTGCACATGTTCCACTCATGTCGTATGGCATCTTCAGGATGCAATTGCATTTAGATTCTGTAGAAATATTAAAGCGATTTTTTTTATTTTATATATTCCATGGATTTCAATCGAAGGCTATTTTACATCTCAAGTGCATTTGCCCATCCAACTGTCCATATATCGACTACTGAACATTTGTGAAAAAGAGCTTTATAGCTCATCGGATTCCCCCCCAATCTGATTAAATATTCTGATTCTGACACGTTCGTACATCCATCCTGTCTGTCCGCTCATCTATTCCATCCGTCCGTCCTTCTTGTCCGTCCGTCCCTGTCCGCCCGTCGGCAGACTACACTGGCCGCCGGGAGCCCGGACCGCTGGAGCGTCTCCTGTTTGGCGGCTGCGCGGGCCTCCTGAGCCAGACGGCGTCGTACCCGCTGGACGTGGTGCGGCGCCGCATGCAGACGTCGGTGGTGACGGGCGGAGCGCGGGTGGCGCTGGTCCACGGGGTGAGCGGCCACGGCCACCCCGCCGCCGCCGCCGCCGCCGCCGCTCACCCCTTGCTGCTGGTCGGCGAACCTCGCGGGGCCGGGGGGGCCTACACCTCGGTTCTGTCGACGGCGCGGCTGATCGTGCGCGAGGAGGGATTCCGCCGGGGCCTCTACAAGGGCCTGAGCATGAACTGGGTGAAGGGCCCCATCTGCACGGGCATCAGCTTCACCACCTTTGACTTCATCCAGGACGTCTTCCGCTGGCTCGGGCTCACGTAGTCGCGTTTGGGTGAGGGGGAGGTGGGGGTGGGGGGCACGCACCCCCTTTGTCCGCACTCTTTTACTCGGGGGTTTCCCATAGTCCATTGGTCGCGTCCCACCCCGGGTACCGCCGATGTGCGTTTGGCCAGTCTTCTAAAATTGTCCGCAATTGCACGTTGAGTCCGCCGCTTGCCGGGTGCGTCAGCCGGTCGCCGAAACCCGTTCCATGTTGACGCGGGGAGAGCCTTGGTTCGAAAACAGAAACGCGGTGTAAGTCGCTTGGGGACGAAGTCGAGAGACCAAGATCTCGCCGTAGCCTTCAAATAGGCTGTTGGGGCGAGTGCTGTTGGCGAGCACCTGTTAAGATTTGGAAGGGTGCCGTTCCCGGCCGTCTTTGTCTCCCCGAGGGGCCAGGCACTCGCTTTGAGTGCCTGGCCCCTGACATGACGTGTACGTCATGTGGGACGCGCGCGTGCGCACGCGGAGTCCCGTCTCGATTTGAATCGGCACCGTTACGTGGGGACGTGTTTGGCGATCGTCGGACGCGTGTGACACACACACACACTCGCGGCGACTGAATTTGCGCTTGAACAGAGAAGGTGGTGGGCGAGTCGTGGAAACGGCGTTCTGCGGTGGGTCACGAGGTCGAGTAGGGTAAACTTCGCTTTCAAGCAACCCCTTCTCCCTCGCTCTGCCAGACGAGCGTGCGAGCGTGGGTCGCCCGATTGTGCCTTCTGCCAGCGTGCAACGGCGGTTTTACTTAATTGGGTTCTTTTGATTAAAAGTAAAACAAAAACTTAAGGTTTTTTTTTCTTGTTCAATGCAAGTCTAGCAGTGCCCCAGACCCCCCCCCCAACGTACCCCCCCCAGCGCTGCGATGAACCTCCCGGGCTGGCTTAACGCCCCGTGAACGTTGCAAGGTTTGGTGCAAGCGCTCTCGGGGGGGGGGGGGGGGGATTCGATGTGCGATGTTCGTGGGTCGAGCGGTCACACGGGGGGTGGGGGGAGCTGGGACTGCCCTTTTGGCGCCGGCGGCGGCGGCGGAGAACGAACGCCAGTGGGCGGATCGCCGTGCAGTTGCGACGATCGACCGGGCGCCTCTTTGCCGTTGGGTTTCTTTGTCCCCTCGCGCAAAATCTCAGCCGGCGGGAAAAATGTAGTCCGCGTTTCTGAGAGCCAACTCCTAGCACACAATGCAACTTAGACGAGGCGGGAGGTGATCGTGCGAATTCGACAAATCAGACTCGTTTACCCACAATATTTCTTCGTGTGGGGACGTGCGATGGCCTTATATTATTACGTAAAGTGTATTAAACGTTTAAGGGGCGAGAGAGATAGAAGCTGCTTGGTGCTGATGAGTATTTTACTGCGTTCAGGTCCGTGGTTTGTTATCATCATGTGGAGCGTGCCAAGTTGACTGAACGGTGGCGATGTGTTTTTTTTAAAGATGAAAAGGGGAGAAGGCGATGCGGTTGTTGGTGGCTTTGTATGATCGCAGTATTACAACCCCCCCCCCCCGTGCCTCTACCTTCTCTTTAACTGGCGTTTGTCCCGTAAATGAGCACTAGCACTTTTTGGACAATCATTTGTGGAGATGACGCGTTTTAGAATTACAGGACGTTCGAGATTGTCGGGTGGCTCTGTGCGGTCAGAGCCGTGAGACCCGGCACCTGTCGAGATCCTGGGTTCGTATATCCCGGTTAAGAGTCGCCCCCCCCCCCCCCCCATGATTAATCTGGATTCTCGTGTCTTGGCGAGGTGATGGGTCTCGCTCAACCTGGTCACCCCAAAGATTGCAGCAACAAGGATAACAATGACTACAAAATAAATCCATCGCGTTGCGTTTGTTTTCGCGGGGGAAAAGTGTACCCAGCCCACCTTGATGTGTAACTACGGTAGAGGAGTCCTGTGAAGCACCTTCTTCTGCAGTCGCTCTCCGACACGTGGGGCACTGCCGTGCGAAATTTCCCGATGGATTCTTTACATCGTCCTATGCTGGCCGCGATGGCGCAATTGTAATAAGTTTAAGGGAGAATATTTTAATTTTTTTGCAATTGAAAGATATTTACGGAACATCTTTACCAAACGTTGAACGCGAACGGTACTGCCTCGTCACTTCGAGTATTATTGGGGGGGTTTTTCCCCCCCTCCCTTTACTCCTGTGCCAACCTCGTGGTGTATTCACAAGTTGCGAACTGCAGTCTGCCCTGCTGCCATTATGCGCGCGCGTGTGTGTGTGTGAGCATGGTGCGATAGTTGGGTTGGCACTCGATGCCAAGCTTCAGTGTTTTTATGCTCCGGTGCTACACGCGCGATGTCCCAAACTCGAGTCCTCGCGGACTCCCCCCTCCCCCTCCGCACCACCACCACCACAATGCTACGTCTATCCGGGTTCACCAATGTACTGCTCACTCCATTCAAATTAACTCGTTCCACGCTGCACGCACCGGATGATTGTTGTACAGTGTGGTGGTGGTGGTGGTGGTGGGTGGCAAGGGCTGGCGTTTTGGAAAACCCTGCCGGTTTAACCCTCGCCACGAAGTGATGACGTTCAACAGCGGTGCTGCGTGAGCACACTCCAGACAGAGACGCCGTTTTCCGTACGCCGCTGCTGCTCTTTATTAACGAGCCAAAATGAATGTGCTGTTACCCCGCTCTTGTTCACGTGTTGTTTGTGTTGCTTTCCTTTGCCGTGAAACGTGACGCGTGAAAGTTACGGAAGTGCCTTTTGTGTATCCCCTGCTCAATGATAAGTTTAAATTTGGAGGGATGTCGGAGGGGAGAGAGGGGGGGGGGGAGGGTATTTTAAAAATACAATTCATTGTGTATATAATCGACGTATATCCCTGTCGAGTGTTTTTCATGAGTCTGTGTGTGTGTGTGCGCGCGTGTTATCTAGCGTGTGGGGAGCGGTGGAGCAAGCGGTCAGCGCGCCGCACTACGAACCTAGCGACTCGGGTTCGATTCCCGCTCACGGCGAACGCCAGTGACGATTATCCGAACCGGTCCAGGGCCCTCCCCGAGGTGCGGTGTAGTAAGCCTCGCCACTGGGGAGACAAAGGCGGCCGGACGTGGTGCTGGCCCACCCACACCCACTGCATGTGCCGCGCCGGCCTTCAGAGTTGCGCTGCTCGCTATCAGCAACTTTACTCACAGTCTGTTAAGGCTATACGGGGTATCTTTTTTTTTTATCTATCATGGTTTGGTTTGAGTGGGTGGGGAGCAACATTGGAACCAAATCAAGTCACTCTTGCTGGAAATTATCACGGGGTGATGCAGTTACGATGATGACAACGTTTTGCCTGAAGGTGGCGCTCAATGATTGAAAATCGGAGAAGCGACCTGGGGGTGCGGGGGTGGTGTTTGGGAGCAATCAGTGAGCGGACCTCATTAGAATAACCCCAGCTCCTCTGTGCTTTAGGCTGCCTTTGTGCGCGTCGTGTTTGCGATTCACGGGCAGCGCATCGATTCGCGAATTGAATATCCATTCGCAAGCTTGCGATGCGTGCATGCGTCAAATAATGCCGCGCCACGAAGCTCGGCGGACCCGAGTTCGAGTCCCGCTCACGGCCGGCAACATCGGTGACGATTGTCTGAACCGGTCCTGGGCCTCCCCTAGGTCGACTCGGCCTCAAATGAGTAACCTGGTGCGTCAACATCGCCGCTGGGGAGACGAAGGCGGCTGGGCGTGGTGCTGGCCACCCACGCCTACGCGCGTGCCGTTCTGGCCTTAATAGGTGCTCGCTAACAGCACTTGCCCCAACATTCTGTAAGGCTATACGGGGGGGGGTGGGGGTGGGGAGGGTCTTTGTCAAATAACAGCGTGTATACTCGAAGACATTTGCGTTATTAAGACGCGTCTACGTGCATTGGGGTTTGCGCGACCCCCCCGCAGCCGCTAGAGGCCGCTACACGCACGACAGTCGAAAGTACCCGTCTTGTCGAAAATGAAATCGAGGGTTGTGAATCGTCGCACCTGATACTCCCCATGCCCTTCCTAAACCGACGCAGCACCCACGGGGCAAATTGTTCCTCTGAATCTTGGGCCATCCCTAGGTCGACTCGGACCAAAAAGGGCGCCAGATGTAACTGTTCGGTGGTGAGCATCAGAACTACTGAATGGGCAGTGCATGGTACTTGCACGTGCCACGGGCTCCAGAAGAGACGGAGGTTGTGGAGTTGATTGGACTGGCCGATGAGCGGTACCGGCGGTGTCGAGATCGGCCTTGGTGGAGGAGGAGGTTCGTGAAGGACGCTCACAACAACAACAACAACGACGAGCGGAGCGCCGGGCAGCTAAAACGCAGAGAGTTGGCACAGTGGAGAGCACGGCTGGTGCATCTGCCGTTCATTTCGGTGGGTGAACCCGCGGCACCTTGGGTCTGTTCCGTGACCTCCAGCCAGCGGGTCTTCGACACGTCACGTGGCCTCAAAGTACACCTATCGTGGCACAGGGGCCGTTGTGACGTCACCGCCACCTCGTGGTGATTGGCGGGTGTTGTTCAGCGCCAGGTGTTCGAGAACAGCGGTGGTCTCGGCAGTTTAGGCCTTCCCCCGTACCTCCGATTAGCACGGCTGGCTACGTGCGGTGCGAAAGAAGTTCAACGTACATTAACAGTGAGTGTACATGTGGGGTGGAGCGGTGGCGCAGTGGTTAGCGCAATGCGCTATGAACCCAGAAAGCCGAGTTCGTTTCCCCGACCACGGCTAACATCAGTGGCGGCGGATGTCAGAACCGGTACTGCCCGTCCCCAGCCTCCCTTCGCCAAGCCACGCTGAGACCAGCGCGAGGTGAAGTATGGTCAAAGGGGCCGTCCATAAATGACGTCACGCACCTGGGGGGGGTGTTTGAGAAATGTGACGTCACAAAAATGCGCAACTTTAAATAAATACAATTGTTATAACACCACTAATTGTTATAACCACACTCCTACAACATCAGAGTGCAGCGCCACATTAAATACGCACTACAATTACTTTTCGTGACGCCGTGTGACGAGGGTGGGGGGTCAACAATTGTCCAAAATTGCGTGACGTCATTTATGGACGGCCCCATAGGCAGCCGATGACCGGCACCGCGTGGGGCGGAATTCGGCCAGCAGTGCATTGACATCGGGGCTGTACGCACTGTGTGTGTGTTTAGTGATTGTATTGTATGCATTGAATTGTATTGTATGGTTGTCTTTGTATGGTAGTATATTATGTCATTGCATGGTTGCATTGTATGCTTGTGTTGTGTAGTTGTCTTGTAAGGTTGCATCGTATGATTTTATTAAAGGATTGTATTGCACGGTTGTATTGTATGCTTGCATTGTAACATTGTATGGCACGGTTGTCTTGTATAGTTGTATGATATTCTTTTATTGTAGGGTTGTGTTCCACGGATGTATTGTAGACAATCATCGGTTACGATGGTGATGGCCAGTGGTTAGTTTGAGCCGGAACAGACCGGACCGCTGTTTCGACAATTGCTTTTGGCACTCAGCCACATCCATCCCCATCACACCGCCTGGATGTCTTTATGCTTACAAACTTGTCTTAAGATCACGGGAATGCTCCTCGATCGGCCTTCAAACAGCCGAGGAGTATTGTGGATAGATGGCGGCGTACCTTGTACCTCTTGGTGGTAGTGCCTTACGCCGATAATTAATCATCCAAGCCAGCCGCTAATAGCAGCCGGTGATGACTTCTAATGAGCTAAACATCATCGTGTACCCCCATTCTAAAGGGGAGACGTGGAGAATGAGACGTGGAGAATGAGACGTGGAGAATGAGCCCAACAGACGTGTGGGTGACAGCAGCTGATGGTTTATGTTTGGTGTGCGTCACTATTTACCACCACCACCACGCACCCCCCCCCCACGACCCCCCCCCCACCTCGCTACCCTTCCCACCCAGCCGCCTGCTGGACTGTCTCGCACCCCCCAAGCCCCGAAACACACACGCACCGGTACAAAGATCCCCCGTACAGCCTTAACAGACTGTTGGGGCAAGTGCTGTTAGCGAGCACCTATGAAGACCGGAACGGTACACGAGGGGGTGGGTGGCCAGCACCACGCCCGACCGCCTTTGTCTCCCCAGTGGCGATGTTTACACACCGCGGCAGGTACTCGTTTGAGGCTGAGTCGACCTAGGGGGAGGGCCCGTGACCGCTTCCGATATATCCGTCACTCGGTGTTGGCCGTGAGCGGGGACTCGAACTCGGGTGGCCGGGTTCGCAGCGCAGCGCGCGAACCGCCGCCAACACAGGAACAACAACAGCAGCGGCCGCCGATCGCCACGGAATGGTGGTGGTGCTGGTTGTGGTGCGACCTACTCGTGCTTGTGCCAGACTGGGTGCACTTTTTGAGGCCACGTGAAGTGTCGGTAAGCTCTGTGGCGGGAGGCTACGGGACGTGCTCTGGTGTTGTGGGTTAAAACTGGCAGACGAATCGGACTCTTTTTTTTGTTTCACCAGGTAAGGCTCCGCTGGCCTGTGTAGCTCTTTCTTAGAAGCGACCGGGCCACAAACGGTGGCTCAACGAAGTGGCTTAGCACGTGGACATTTAGAGCAGCCATATGATCTTGACGCGTGCTCTTGAACGTCGAGGGGAACACCGGAGGACCCTGAGAAAAATCCACGCAACCACAGTGGATGTTCGTGCAAACTCCAAATATACAGCAGGCGTTGGCAGGGTCGGGATCGACCCCACGTCCCCCTGTATACCAGGCGAGGTAGTTAACATCTCCGAAGCCAACTGCGGTCACGATCTTGTGATCTGTCTCTGGCCGTCCGTTCGTGCGCGTGTTTCCGTTCCTCCGTTTCTCATTTCAACTTTGCGCCATTCTTGCTTCCGTCCACCCGTCTTGCGGTTCGCGTGCAAGTTGTTCCGCGTGTGGGAACACCCGTGTGTGATTGTCCATGCGCGTTCATGTGCGTGTCCGTTCACGTGACTGTGTATGTGTGTGTTGATCCCTTTGCCTCTGATAATTATTGGTCAGCCTCTGTGTCTTTACATGCCTTAATTAATTTATCAGTCTGCCTGTCATTTCGTCTGAGCGTTCTTTTGTCTGCATGTCTCTCTTTGCGTTTCTTCGTCTGTTTGTACATTCTTTACCCGTGTCCATTCATCTGTCTGTCTGCCTGTTGGTCCAGTCACGTGCCTGTTCGCTCACCTTACCGTCTACATTTGTGTTGTCTCTCCGCGCGTCTCTTGTCTGCCTCTACGTGTCTGTATTGGGATCTGTGTGTGTGTGTGGGCGGAGCGGTGGTGTAGCGGTTAGCGCGCTGCGCTACGAACCCGGAGACCCGAGTTCCATTCCCGCTCACGGCCAACACCACGGTGATGATTATCTGAACCGGTCCTGGGCCTCCCCTAGGTCGACTCAGCCTCAAATGAGTACTCGGCGCGGTGTGTAAACATCGCCACTGGGGAGACAAAGGCGGCCGGGCGTGGTGCTGGCCACCCACCCCCCTCGTGTGCCGCAGTTCCGGCCTTCATAGGTGCTCGCTAACAGCTACTTGCCCCAACGGTCTGTTGAGGCTATACGGGGGATCTTTGTCTTGTGTGTGTGTGCGCCCCCGTGTCTCCTCCGCCGTCCGTCGCAGCTCATTACGGAAGGAGCTCACGGAGCCGGTTCTGCTGGGACTGTGGGAACGCGACGTCGCTATTCATGGGCCTGGCGCGCGCGAACAATCAGCGCACAAAAAGCTCCGCCTTAGACTCCCCGCTCACGTCCCGAGGCATTCTAGCGGGGCTCGCCTCTCCGTGTCACCCCCTCCTCCCTCACCCCCTACTGCCCTCCCTCCCTCCCATCTTCATCCCTCTCCTCCCTAGTCACCCCCCCCCCAGCAGCATGATCATGAGCAGCAGCAGCAGCAGCAGCATCCTCCCCTCTCAAGTCCCGTGCCGTAAGAGCTGTCGCACCACTCACCATCACCTCCCCTCCCGAACACCCCCCCCCCCACCACCACTAACCCCTCCCCCAAAGATCCCCCACCCACACCCCCCACCTCCCCTCACCAACAGCTTCCTCCTCCTCCGCCCCGTTAACGTCCCTCACCATTCGATCTGCCGGGCCTCTCTGTCACCCCCCGTTCCGCCCCCCCACAATCCCCCACTGACCCCCCCCCCATCCCACCGCCTCATCAATCATCATCAGCATCCTCCTCCTGCCCCCACACGGGCCTGCCCCGTCTCGCCATGAATTAAATGGGCTCCCTGTTGGTGCGTGCGTGCGCACTGAACGCGACAGGGTGTGTGTGTCTGTGTGTGCGCGTGTGTGTGTCTGTGTGTGTGTCTGTGTGTGTCTGTGTGTGTGTCTGTGTGTGTGCGCGTGTGTGTCTGTGTGGGGAGCGGTGGCGCTGTGGTTAGCGCGCTGCAATACGAACCCGGCGGTGTGCTGTGCCTGCCTTCATAGGCGCTCACTTACAGCACTTGCCCCCAAATCTGTGACAGCTGTACGGGGGATCTTAGTCTTGTGGGGAGCGGTGGCGCTGTGGCGGCCCGAGTTTGATTCCCGTGGCGAATATTTGAACCGTTCACGTGCCTCCCCATAGGGGAGCCTAAATAAATTTTGGAAGAAAAAACAACTTGAGTACCTGTCGCGGTGTGTAAAACATCACCACTGGGGAGACAAAAGCGGCCGGGCTTCGTGCTCGCCACCCCACATCCTCGTGTGCCGTGCCGGCCTTCGAAGGCTTTAAGGGGGGGGGACGTTGTCTTTATTATGCGTGGAATCCGTCGTCGGCTTTTTTTAATGCAATGTAACGCGAGATCAATAAAGGGCTGTCCTTTATTTAAACGATTGAGATTACATCGGAAGTAGTTATCAGGTTTACAACAAAATAATAACTGCCTGCATCCCTACCACACAACTCGCCAACCCTTATATTAAAAACCTCACCAAGCCGCTCTCCAACACCGGTAGTACCAAACTCGCCACGCAGCTCACCAACACCAATACTAAACTCACTCGCCGATAGAGATACCTGGCGACCACTGCACCTGACATCCAGTGACCTTCACCTCTTTTTACGAATTGCAGGAGAAGCTGCGTGGAAAGGTATTTGTAGAGGGTGATGTAACGTACGTTTGTTGAACTTCTTTCACACCGCACGTAGCCAAGCGTGATAACCGGAGGTGCGTGGGAAGGACAACACACTAAACACAAAACGCAGTTCATGATGATTACGTTGGTCATGGGCTTCATAGGTTCTTGCTAACAGCACAAGCCCCAACAGTCTCTCAGGCTATAGCGGGGATTTTGGCTTTGGTGGTGAACATGAATTGCTAAACGGGCGCGGTACGGGCGAGAGAAGAGATGGGGCTGATGTGGTACAGGAGGGTGTGGATCTGAGTGGACTTGCCGATGACCGGTACCGGCGGTGTCAAGATCGGCCTCTGCGGAGGAGGGCTCGTGAAGGACGCTGCTAGGCACTTGGAGGCAGTTGCCCTCTTCACAAGAGCGGAGAGAGGAGGAGCGATGCTCACAACAACGAGTGGAGTGCCGGGCGGATATAAAGGAACAAGTTGGCACGGTGGGGGGGGGGGGGGGATACAGGTGGTGAATCTGTCAAGCCACGAGCCTTCCACACTTAACGTGACAGCGGCAAAGTGCACCTAGCCTGGCACAAGCGCTGTGATGACGTCCCCGCCACTTCAGTGACGAATAGCGGCTGTTGTTGTTGGTGGTGGTGCTGGCGAATATGATGGTGATGATGTTAATGGTGATGGCGGTGATTTTGATGATGGCAGTGATTATGATGTTGGCGATATTGATGATGATGATGATAATGTTGATGAACTGTGGAAGGAGCTGTATGAGCAAACTCGAATGTGCTGCGAGACAAGACAGTTACATCTGGAGGAACGACCATGGGACACGCATTGACGATGTGTAAACACGATGTGGTTCTCATAAGCGTCACGCTGCCTTCCTGTTGGCCGACGGGGCAAGCCCGAGCCGTGAGTGGCAGCGAAAGGAGAGAAGCGTGCCGCAAACGGGGAGGGACCCCCCCGTCGTCCGTAGGAGATGGAGCGATACATTCGCGTGCAGCCGCGCTGGGTGGATCGTTGCGTTGCTGGAGCGTGGGAGATGGTTTACGTCTTGGGAATGCCTTCATCGAGCAGGGGATTAAGCATGGCTGCTGCTGATGATGATGCTTTGGATTCAAATGTTTGTTGCGTTCCTTCCCTGTGCAGGCGGTGGCCAATTAAGTGATCCTTACAGCAGGGGGCGAGCTATGGTAACGATGACACCCCCGCGTCGAAAATAAAACTATTTAAATATATTTGTTTTTATTTTACCAGGTGGGTGTGACGTCGCAGCGGTGCTTGTGCCAGACTGGGTGCACTTTGGAGGCCATGTGAAGTGTCGAAGGCTTCTGTGGCAGTAGGTTACGGGACAGGCTCGGTTGTTGCGGGTCTACTGACAGACAAATCAAGACACTTTCTGTTTTTCCAGGTGAGGCCAAACTGAGATTATTTAGTTTTTTGTCAGAAGCCACCCGGCTGTCGAATGGTAGCTCAACGAAGTGGCGCATCATCGTGTGAAGATTTGTGGCAGACGGGTACTCTAAACGCGTAATGTTGATTCTAAATGTGGAGGGAAAAAAATCCGAGCACCCAAAGAAATATCCACGCTACCACGGTGAGAGAGAGAGACACGCAAACTCCAAATATACAGCAGGCGTTAGGGTCGGGATCGAACCCACCACCTCCTGTATACCAGGCGAGGTAGTTAACATCTCCTAGCCACCGTGATGACGATAAGAGAGACACGCAAACTCCAAATATAGAGCAGGCGTCAGGGTCGGGATCGAACCCACCACCTCCTGTATACCGGGCGAGGTAGTTAACATCTCACCACCGTGGCGCCCACAGGGAATCGAACCGGCAGAGAAGGTGAGAGGATAGTCGAGTACCTGTATATATATTCACACACGTGTGTGTGTTGAAATATACAGTCTATAAACACACGTGTGTGTGTATATAGACTGTATATCAGGCAGTGCAGGGTTTCCCAAACGCCAATCCTTGCCACCCACCTCGACCACTACGTTCCGCCTTTCCGCTTTCACCAATTTACTCCTCCACATTTCAAATAAAAATTAACTCGTTCCGCGCTGCATGTGCCCGATGATTGTTAAACACGTCCCACGTGACCCGCGGAGTAATTAACCGCTGTCTGCGTTCGAGGCGATTCGAATAACGATTCAAATCTGTGTGCGTGCGCGCACGTGGTACACGTGTGTGTGTGCACGTGTGTGTATACGTATTCCAAGTGTTCCGCGTGTGTACGCACTATGCCACCTGTGTGCGCGCTATGCCACGTGTGTGCGCACGTGCGTGTGCACGTAATCCACGTGACGTTGTGTTGTTGTTTCGCGCGTCACGTGGGGCGTCTTTAACAATCATTGGGCGCGTGCGGCGTGGGACGAGTTCATTTGTATTTGAAAGCAGAGTAAATTTGTAAACGCGGAAAGGCGGAGCGTGGTGGTAGTGGTGGGCCGCGGGCGGCGAGATGTTAACGACCTCGCCTGGTATGGAGGAGATGGTGGGTTCCGATCGCGACCCTGACTCATGTATATTTGGAGTCTGCATCTTCTCCCCGTGGTCGCGTAGATTTTTCTCCGGGTCGTCCGGTTTTTTTTTGCCTCCACATTTAGAATCAACATCACGCGTTTAGAGTATTTGGCTGCAATACATTTCCACGTGACGACAAGCCACATTGGTAAGCTATCATTTGTGGCCAGGTCGCTTCTGAAAAAAAAGCGATTTAACTGAGTGGGCCTTACCTGCTCAAATAAGAAATAGTTAAGTTTCGTTTAGAGTATTGGAGCTTCGGAAACCCTGGCTTAGGTTCAGCCAGAACAGTGTGGAATGTTGTGACGGGAATTGTTTTGGCCACACCAGGCCAGTCACAAATCCATCTCGCCTCATTTTTGTCCCCAGCCCTATCGCTGTTCGTAGGATTATAGCAATACTAATATATGGTAAAAAAAAATAATGTAACATTATATTTTGGTTCGGCGTATATTGCACTCTCGTGGTAGTGCCTTTCGCCGGAAAGTCCGACTCTAAGACAGGACACCGTGGGATTTTAACCACCAACTTGGGACTGCAAGTGGAGCGAATGAATGTTTTGTATACGGGGATAATTAAATGCATCGACTACTTTTTTTTCTTGAGATCAAACGGTCACAATGAATCCCTGCCCAAGCGAGCAACGGGGCACGACGCCTCTGAGCCACGGGTGGATATTCCACGTTCCGGTGTCGGGAGCCGGTTCATCCATCCGCAGTGCTCGCCTGTTGAGTACTGCACTCGCAACGTGTTACTCGTTCAAACGATGACTCAGGAATGGTGGGCTGAAGCAGTTACACACAATTTGTGTTGATATAAATGTGGATGTGTAATCTCTGTTATATATTTGATAACGTCATAATTTATGTATTTCTTAGAATTGTAAGCAATGAAACGAGATTGAAACAATCTTAATTGAACGAGTGTAATTATTATATTCTACTTATTCGTTAATATGAATTTGGACCATGTAACCGAATGTTGCGTAACACACGCGCACACATATATACATATATATGTACTACGCACATTAAAGACAAAGACGTCCTGTGCAGCCTACATTGGCTGTTCGGGCCAGTGCCGTCAGCGAGGGGGTGGAAGGAGGAGCACCCACTCACAGCCGCCTTTGTCTTCCGGTGCTGATGTTTACACACCGCACCAGGTACCCATTTAAGGCCGAGTCGATCGTGTAGGAGGGCCCAGGACCGGTTCAGATATCCTCGCCTATGTTGGCCGTGAGCGAGAATCGAACTTGGGTTACCGGCTTCGTCGCGCAGGGCGCTAACCACTGCGCCACCGCTCCAGGCGAACGCTCACACATATATACATACGTTTATATATGTGTGTGTATTTGTATATATTCTTTAGCGCGCTGTACTACGAACCTGCCCCCTCCCGAGTTCGATTCCCGCTCACGGCCAAGACAAGTGAAGATAATCTGAACCGGTCATGGACCTTCCCTAGGGCGACTCAGCCTCAAATGAGTACCTGGTGCGGTGCGAAGACATCGCCACTGGGGAGACAAAGGTGGCCGGGCGTGGTGCTGACCATTCCGGCCACTCAAAGGTGCTCGCGAACAGCATTTGCCCCCACAGTCTGTTCAGGCTACACGGGGGATCATCGTCTTTGCTTAATATTCATATATAGACACATACATTTATACACGTAAATATAAATATAGTTCTAGAACTGAGACGTTTATATTACACACACATATAAACATAGATACAGTTACACAAAAACATACACATCGACATGTACGTAGTTTATACATATACGTAAATATTGTACCTCGATAACGTCAACAGTAAATATTAATTTTCTTTACAAATATTAAAAAAACATAACCGTGTAAAAAATATATTATGAATTGCGCAAATATGCATATAAAACTGCAACATATGGTTCATGTTCAAATGTTGAGATGCATACACTAAGCTAATACAGTAATATGTTATATATGTAAACACATCTTATACATTTCGATTTAAAGCTTTCGTGACTGCAGGGATTCATCTTCTTGGTTCTTTCGGTAAAGTCACGTAGAAGGGAAACAATAAAATAATGAAACTAAAACATAAAATAAAAAATGTTTTGATTTTAATTACTTTATTATGTCCCTTCTACGTGACTTTTCCGAAAGAACCAAGAATATGACATCTTATACACTCACGCTCTGTTCATATACCACGCACTCACTGTTCATATGCTGTGTACGTTACGGTTGTTAATTTACACATTGTTTTGCATTACCGGTAAACGCATGGAAAAATCGGGTTTACAAATGAAAAACTAACCGGTTTGTCCCGTATATAGAAATATTTATCGAGCCATGAACATATTACGTGCTTAGTTGAGTTCACCGAAAGGGAGGGTTGGCGCTCTTGGGTTATCGATCAGCAACGCAAACGTTCGATCTCCCGGTGCGGCATTTGCAACAACGGTGCGAGTTTTATCGCACCCGGAGGTTGCGGGAGGGGGGGGTGGGTAAGCACGTGGAGCCGATCCGTACGCCACGTGGTGACTTCGGGTGCGTTCGTTTTCGAAAGTTAGACCGGGAGCGGTTTTGTTTTTCTTGTATCGTCTGACGACCGTAATCTATCGATAATGCGCCGACGTAAAACACGAACATATAGGTGCAGCATATTGACAGAACGTGCTCTGTACTCGCGCGACTTTGCCGAAGTTATACGTTACATGTCTTAAAGTGGTGACAAATATTGCTGCCAAATATTTCTCCGTGGACATACGCACACCGTCCATGCACACGTACAAAGACACGCGCGCGCAGACTTAGGGGCAGTCCATAAATGACGTCACGCACCTAGTGGGGGGGGGGGGCGTCAGACATTTGTGACGATGTGTGACGAGGTGGGGGGGAGGGGTTTGAGAAATGTGACGTCACATCAAAATGCGCAACTTTAAATAAATACTTAATCAAATAGACTTTTTCATAAATGTTTTCTCCTACAACATCAGAGTGCAGCGGCACATTAAATACGCACTACAATGACAATAGTTTAAAGCGATTTGAAGCATGCTTTGTGACGTCATATTTGAGGGGGTCTGACTTTTTGTGACGAGGGCGGGGGGGGCATCAAAAATCGTCAAAAATTGCGTGACGTCATATATGGACGGCCCCTTACACACACAAAGACAAATATCCCCCGTATAGTCTTTAACAAACTGTCCGGGCAAGTGCTGTCTGCGAACACCTATGAAGGCCGGCGCGACACACGAAGGGGGTAAGATATGGCCAGAGCCACACCCGGCCGCCTTTGTCTCCCGAATGTTGATGTTTACACACCGCACTCAATGAGGGCTGAGGCAACCTCGGGAAGTACAACACACACACACGCACACACACGTGTCAATGTCTCCATGCACACCAACCCGTGGCAATACATATCTTCTACCAACCAACTAAGGCCATGTCATCAGCCATGGTCAAACCACTCCCACACACGTGCCGATTTCATCGCTCCATCTCCTCCTCGTCGGTAGAGACGCTCAGACGCGTTCCGTGCGTGGCGAGATGTCAACTACCTCGCATGGTATACAGGAGGTCGTGGTTTCGATGCCGACCCCGACGCCTGCTGCTGTATATTTGGAGTTTGCGTGTCTCTCTCTCTCATCATCATTACGGTGGCTAGGAGCTGTTAACTACCTCGCCAGGTATACAGGAGGTAGTGGGTTCAATCCCGACCCCGACGCCTGCTGCTGTGTATTTGGAGTTTGCGTGTCTCTCTCCCCACGGTCGCGTGGATTTGTATCCTCCACATTTAGCAGCAACGTCACGCGTTTAGAGTATTTGGCTGCTAACAATTTCAACGTGACGATGATAAGCCACTTCGTTGACCCATCATTTGCGATAGCCAG